GTACTTGAAAATATTCAAAGTTCAATCCTTTTATAATAGCGCAAGAAGCAACATAACTTTTGCATGCACCACACCCGGATAGACAAAGATAAATTAGATCAGTTGTAAAATTTCAAGACTAAACTAAAAAAACGGGTTAGCAAAAACACTCCATAGATGCTTCCTTTCAATAAGAAGATATGACATATGCATAACACATTATTGATAATGATCCAGTATTAAATTTACTAGGCATTTAAGGTGATCATGAAGAGAATGATGAAAACTAATGATGCAATAGAAGATAAAAGTATTAAAAAACAATCATTTTTCTGATGACACACTGGAAATTGAACATCAATTATATGAAAATGATACTAAATGATTGAATTTTTTATGTTATTTAATTAGTTATTATTCAGAAAATCTCATTTACGTATTTTGCATTTGCAATAATTAAAATGCCTACGATACGAATCCATTTATGTAGAATTCTTCTGGAAAGAATACTAAATGATTAGGCATGAAAAAATTAATGTCCACCACTTCCCATTCCGAACTCTACAAGAGAGATACTCTCTCGTACCACCACATCAACCTCTTCAGTACCCCACCACTTCACATTAACTTGTTCCCCACTTCCACCGACTGCCACAGCAGCATATTCTCCTCAAGTCTTCAATCCTCCACCAAAAAAGCTCAACAAACTACCCCATATACTGCTTATGCGCCACCACCACCATATACTAAGTCATCCACAGATGACTCCTACCTCAACACTACCACCATATTATTATCCAGGTTATTACCCATACCCTCTCCTCATCAAACACCAAGTGCTGGTTCATCCACCCATGCGCATCATATAGCAAGCCAACACATACATATACACAGGCATTTGCATAGACTAAAAATGAAAGACATGATGACCTTTATACAACCATAGGGTGGGATGTAAGCGTCAAATATTTTTTTTATTCAATTACATTATATATGATTATAAATATAAAATCATTACTAATTGATTAGTAGGTTTCATTCCCTTAAGGTTCCCATTCATCAAATTATTGAGATAATTCAAGATAGTTCTGATGTATCATACAAATCATAAGTCTTGAGAGGATGACCTTTTCCAGACCAACTTCTCATGAGGCTTAAGAGTGCTGACGACAGCTTGGAGTCGATGTCTAAGAGCAACTACACCAAGTTGTCAAACTTGGCAATAAGCTTATTCAATTGGGTATGAATCTTTAAAACAACTTTAGAATATTCATTAACATTGAGTCTTTAAAACATCTCTTGAAGATTCATTAATGAGAAAAAGATCAACATGTGTGACAACCGGTTCTTCCGACCGGTTCAACTGAACCGGCCGGCCCACCCTTTATAATCCCGCGAACAGAAGGATCGCGTAACAGAACTGTTCGCGCGAACAGAGAAGGGCGGATGGTCGGGCTTCACGCGAGAGCGAGGTAGGTTTCTTCTTTCTCCAATTTTAGCAAATGATTACCTTCTAGGATAAGAAATAACGATTCCTTTTCATTCTTATCGTTATCAGAGAGTTATTTTGGTACTCTAAAATTAAATTTAATAAATAATTTAATTAAAAATTAATCAAAATACTTCATAATTTAACACCATTAATTCCAAAAATTAATATTATGATAAAAAACGTCCCTTTCTAAGGAGTTGAGGGACCTAATTGTCCCTCAAAAGAGTTGGGGGCCATTTAAGTCCCTCACAAAGAGTTGAGGGAGCATTTTAATCCTTTTCTCGTTTAATAATATTAAATTGAGTTTCCTCAACCATATTAGAATGTCAAGGCTCCATTGGATCTCTAGGTACTCCTTTCCTTGCCCATGTCATGTCAATCAAATAATCAAATAATGTGCATCAATGATTTATAAAAAGATCAATGGGCGAATATAAAGGAGAGGAGAAGAGATAGGAGGATGAGGCGGAAGCACTTTATTCTTCCATTTGGGACCCTTTAGGGAAATAAAGATCCCTAAGAATAAATTAGATATTTGAAGAGTATCATCCCTAACTTATAGGTAGAAAAGAGAGAATATCAAAATGTTCTCTAGAGATCGAAAGTTCTTAACAACCAATGTGATGTGGTCAAATAAATGGAAAACATGTCATCCATTAATTGGGAGCCCTTATGATGTAGAACAAAGGGGAGTGGTTAATAAATTTCCCTAAGTGGATGTCCAATTGGGGCATTAATTAATTTAGGAGGGAGAGAAAGAGATGGGGGCCAGCCAAAGGAGGGGAGAGAAGTGTCTATGATCAATGAATGTAGGAAGAAGTGTTTAGATTCGATGAATATAAGAATTTTGAATTGATACCCAATCAATTTCATATTTAATCATTCCTTGATTGAAGGAAGACTTTCCAAAATTAAACTAAAGAAGTTAGAAAAGAATTTTGAAATTTCAAATTCATTTGAATTTGAATTCAAAATTTTACCAAAATTAAAAACGACTTAATTTAGGAAAGAATAAATTTAGGAGGGAAAATGAGGGGAGGCTAAAGCCGATGGCTACGAGGAGTGGGTAGGGTTTAGGTTGGGCGGCGATTTTTGGAGGGAAATTCAATTTTAGAATTTTGAATTTGAAATGGGAGGGATCAATTTCAAAATGCTGAAATTAATTTAGCCATAGAGCTGGGAGTAATTGGTGGGATTGGTGGGCTTAATTAGGGGAGCATTAATGGGCCTCTTAATTAGGTGATTTAAAGTTTGCCAAGTGGAAAATCTTAAATTAGGAAGGAGTATTTAAATCAAATCATATTGGAATTTGAAAAAAAGTTTGATTGGAATACTTTCCTAAAATAAGATAACTAATTTAGGAAAGAATTTGAAATTTAAATTCAAAAGCTTTCCAAAATTAGAATAAATCCAAAGAGGAAAGAAGGAAACTATGATGTGAGGGCAAAGGAAAGTGGTGGCTTGGTGGAGAAGGTGGCGGTTTGGTGGGATTTTAGGGTGGATATGGGGAGGAGACCGGCGGTTGGAATAAGGGGAGGGTAGTGGCTGATGGTTGAAAAGGAAAGGGGGTGAGTGGTCGGTGGTGGAGAAGAAGAAGAGAGGTAAAAAGACGACAACTAGGGGAAGATTTAGCCTGCGGTTAAAGGAGGAGGTGAGGAATTAGAGAAAGAAAATAAACCGCGAGTCTAGGACTCTTCCAAAAACTAACGGGTATTGCGTTGCTCTTCACCAAGGGACTTCAACCATGAGTCCGGACACATCTTGCGGCTGGTGGGTATTTCATTGCACTCACATAGGGACTTCCACTCTCCTAAGAACTCTCATCGCTCTCAAGAACAAAGTGTAGAAATATTTTTTTATTAATTCATCATCTCTCTAATACAAGAGCAAGGAACTCTATATATAGGCCGCCTTAAAAGAAACTAAAAGACAACTTTTCCCTTAGGCTTACATAAGATAAGACCCTTAAGTAAGGATAAAAATGGAAACTGCATAATTAAATTAAAAAATATAATTAATAAACTAAGATAAAATGGAGGGATCTAAGCCATCGATCTTCGTCTCTTCCTTTGATTAAAGTCCACCGTAGGATGTCCACATCACCTTAATTATAAGAGATGTTGTAATCAACTGGATATGTGTTGCTTGGTGATGAGGGGAAGCACAATGCCTGGATCATAGATTTTATTAGAGCAGTTATTGTTTACCTCAATCTTCTTCTAAACGACCTCAAAGTAGCTCCACTAGAAATGAGATGAGTCAAGCTGAATAGTGACATTGCATGGCTACAATATCGACTCAACTGCGCAATGCTCTTTGGTGACTATTCTAAATGACTTGATTAGCATTGAGCTGAGGAACAATGTGACTAAGTCATTCAAGTAAACCCTTAGAAGAATAGATTGTTGCCCATATTACAGACGGGATCCTAAATGATTAGCTTTATATCTAAGGCACATAGGCTGAAACTGAGTAAACTTTGCAAGGTAGCTTGGTCTTATTGTGGACACATTTAATGATGTGATGTGTCAAGTGAGCAGATCAATGGCCCATAAAACCTAAAGATTCTAGAATGAGACCGAGATAAGGGGAAGCTGATGGCTCCTTAGAGAGAGATGAGATTCATATGGGGGGTGGAAATGAAGGCATTCCTATTTCAAAATATACTACACAGTTTTTTTTTAATTAAAGTAGCAATAGTATATCAAGTATATAATAATTGCATAAAAAGTGAATAAAATCGTAACAAGCATAAAATCAACTGGCCTCCCATTTAGAAGATATAAAAATCTTCTATAGTTTTTTTAACTTCTATTTGATGGATCTAGCCTTCAATCTTCAAAATAAGATAAAGCAAATGTCTTATTTCTTTACTAACTGGGATCTAATCCAGATTTTTAATCAAAAGAAGCAAAAGTAGGAAGTCCTAGGTGATAGCTGACTTATAACGGCCGCTATAGCAAGTCTCAAGATCAACACAAAGTTGAGTTTCCCTATATCTAAAGTCAATAATTTTTAGTCATCCGATCTTTTGATCTTTACATGATCTAAATTTCAAAACATGAACATTGCATTTTCATGACTTGATCATTAAACCTAACCATTCAATCATAAAATGATGACCAATGTTCTCAAGATCTGATCACCCGATCAACCGATCAAATGAAGTGATCTTTGCATTCATTTTATTATGCTTTGTTTAAATGTTTGAAACTAAATGTGGGCTTAAAAATCTAACTGAAGATACCTGGTTTCATGTTTTTTAATAAGTTCTTGCAAGGGCATCTTCAATATTAAGAAGACCCTCAATAAGCACATTATTTACATGAAGGGGTTTTTTTTACTATTGGATTGAGTGATTGAGCAAAATAAACAAAAGCAGAAAATGGAGCTTAGAATCTCAAATCAAAGGGTACAGATTTTAGCAAGCTGCAAGGTTATTAAAAGTTTAATTGATCACTTTCTTTCAAGCCAAACAACATAAAACACAGCCTCAAAAGAAAAATGACAATAATCAAGTGTCACGCACTTGTAGTCAGGACTTTCAAACAGTCTGAGCACTGGAGGATCTGCATCAGAGGATAGTATTGCCTGTAATAGAAAGAAGAAAGAGTCATCAGATTACACCTTCAAAATTCTTACACTGCATAAGCTATATGATCAATAATTGAAAACAATAATAGGTAAATTAATTTATCATCCAATCCCATAAATTTCATGTACTTAATCATGATTTCCGTCAGAAAAAGTGTACAAATGTCAACATGACACAAACGCTGTACGGGAAAAAAAGTAGTGTAAATTTTAGTTGGTTTCAGTGCAATTTAACAAACTGCAGTCTTTTGATGACCCGGTTAGAAAAATAAATATATTAGATTTGACTTATGTTAAAAAAGGTGTTTGCTCAAGAAAAACGACGCTTTGGCATGAATCCTGTTTTGCAGACTTAGGATTCCATTCTCCTTAAGGCAAATTGTATTTAACCAGATTTCCCCTGAGGGTAGTATCAAAGTTTCTGGATCCTTACTTCAGATGAGCGCAAGCCCTCATAGTTAATTACCCCTCTTAATACATAAGAGAGAACTCTCGATTAAAGATGAACAATTTTAGGTGTTTTAGTGATGTAGAACGAAAAAATTCTTTGCTAGGGAAGATGGAAGAATTTGGGAATTCTCATATTTTCTTCTCAAAATCTGAGAGAAATCTCAGATTTTGTGCTTGGGAGATATCCAACAGTGGAAGAAAAAACGTTTGGGACTTGTGTGGGGAATAAAGGAGAAAGATTGGATTGGGTAGAGAGAAGAGGGGGCGGGTGAGAGAGGGATGAACGGGATTTCCAATTAAGAATAATGAATTTTGGAAGAGTTTAATGAGGGGGATGCATGGGTGCGAGTTTCGGCCAGGAGAATCTCAGCTTTTTGAAAATATTTCCAAAGGAACAAGTTGTAGTTCTGGACAGATTTCACAAGCAATTAAGAAGGAGATGGGGAGGTGGCAGATGGAGTGGGGCGGTGGAATTATTTCCTAAATCCTTTGTTTGGTTTTAGGAAAGTAATTAGAGTAGACAAAGGAGGGAGACGGTCCAGCAAAGCACAATTTCAGCTATGTGAGAGTTACAGGATTGAAGAGGGATATTAGTAATTAATTAGAGATATGGATGGATGTCAGGAAACGGACCAGAGAAAATTTATTGAAAATTGCTTCCAATAGTGGAGGTTGGGAGAATAGGAAATAAATCCTAATTATTCCCTATGGGGGCCGGTGGCAATGAGGGTGAATGGGGCAATTAATGAGGGGATTAATGCTCATAGATTTGAACTTAGGAGTTATGAAAGGGAGCCAATAAATCGGATTTTGAATTTAAATTTCAATTGAATGGAATTAAGCACTTCCCAAAAATGGCAGACTTAATTAGGAAAGAAATTTGAATTCCAAATTGTAAACAATTTGAATTTCAAATTAAGCCCTAATGTCATGCACCCCAAATTAGGAAATCCAAGGAGAGAGGGGAAAGGATGAGGCCGGCGGCTAGGGAGCCATGGCCGGCGGTTTGGAGGAATTTATGGATGGGTGGCCGGTGGCTTTTGGTGAGCTCAGTATGGAGCTTGGATCGTGAAGTTGAGGGAGGAAGAAAAGATGACAAAACAAACAATGATAGAAGATAAAACGAAAGATGCAAAGAGAAAACCACGAACCCGGCCGTCTCGAAGGTTGGTGGGTGATCCGTTGCCCTTCTCCAAGGGACTTCATATCACGAGCACGGACCCATCCTGCGGCTGGTGAAGATTTCGATTCCTCCCCATGGGAATCTCACTCTCGTCCTCTCTCAAGAAGAACACAAGTGTGGAAAACAATTTTTCATATCAATCAACCATCATATTACAATAGCTTAAGGCCCTATATATAGGTCATAACATGAGAAAATAAGAAAATTACAAAAATGCCCCTTGGGCCATAACATTCAAATAAACTAAACTAGGGTAAAAACAGGAAATAACATGAAATAATAGCTAAAATTCATAAAATAAATTTTAAATAACAATTTAAATTAGAGCCGTCGATTTACGACGCCTCCTGTGATAGATGCGCCAGATCTTCGTGCCGATGTCCGCATCATTTAGTCTCATTTGTGGGGGATGAAGAAAAACTTAATCAAGATCCCATGGTTCAGTCACCCCGGGAATATCATAGATTTCAGTCTACCAACACTAGTGATCATTGATCATAGTATCCAGGGAATCTGATTAGCAGTCATGGGTTGCCTCCTCTGAGGAATCCCTCGTAAACTGAAGTGGTTAGATATGGGTTAAAACTTTAAAATATGGTTTGGGGTTTACATCTATTAGTTTCAGATACATTACTTCATTTAGAAGTTATCTGGTTAATTGAATTTGTTCTGGGCATACAACTTCCGTTGGAAGTAGCCCAGTTTATTTAAGAAGTGGGTCTTACGGTTTTCATTGAAAGTAGCCTAATAGGTTTAGTTTAATTCAAAAGTGAGTCTTACAGCTTTCATTGAAAGTAGCCAATAGATTTGGTTGAGAGCTTAGTACTTCTCTTAGAAGTCTCTCAAATAACAAGTCTTACAGCTCCTTTGAAAGATGTCTAATTGTTTTAGTAGGTCTTATGGCTTTTGTATTTAGAAGTAGCCTAAATGTTTGAGTTTGGGTTGAGACTTTTGGCTTTTATTGAAAGTAGAATGACTGTTTTAGAAGTGAGTCTTACGGCTTTCATTGAAAGTAACCCGATTGTTTTAGATGTGGGTCTTACGGCTTTCATTGAAATTAGTCGGGTTGTTTTAGAAGCAGATCTTACGGCTTTCATTGAAAGTAGCCTGGGATTTAAAAAGCGACACTTACTGCTCATTGAAAGTAGCTTGTATGTTTAAATTTGGGTTGGGACTTACGACTCTCATTGAAAGTTATTCGCAGCTATAAATTTTAATCCGGGACTTAGAGCTTCATTTAGAAGTTGCCCGAGCATTTAAATTTGAGTGGGGTTTATAGCTTTCGTTGAAAGTTCCCCGTAGGTTTGAATTTTTAGTCTGGGGCTTACGGCTTTGTTTAGAAGTTGCCAAAGATTTGAATTTGGGTTAAAACTTATGGCTTTCATTGAAAGTTGCATGTAGGTTTGAATTTTTAGTCAGTGGCTTACGGCTTCATTTGGAAGCTGCTCAAAGGTTTGAATTTCGGTCGAGACTTACGGCTTTCATTGAAAGTTCCCCGAAGGTTTGAATTTTAATCCGGGACTTACGGCTTCATTTAGAAGTTTCCTGGAGGTTTGAATTTAGGTCAAAACTTATGGCTTTCATTAAAAGTTGCCCGGAGGTTTGTTTGCTTCATCACTTCTAATAGAAGTTTCCCAAACGGCAAGTCTTACAACTTCCATTAGAAGATATCTGGTTGTTTTGGATAGATTTATGTCTTCTGTATTTAGAAGTAGCCTGAATGTGGGTCTTACAACCTAACTTTATAAGTTAAATGGCTCGTAGGTTTGTTTGGACAGATCTTATCACTTCCCTTAGAAGTTGCCTAATTGTTTGAATTTAGGTTGGGTAGATTGTATTGTAGGTACTTTAGCTTGCAGTTGTTTACTAATCTAACACTAGACTTTAGTTTTCAGTTTTTTACTAGCCCGACACTAGTGTTTCTATTACGGTAGCTTCTTTTTCTACTTCAATAGTGGTCTTAGTTTGCAATGGTTTCTTTTCCTTACACTACAGTTTTGTTTCCAGTCCTAATTCTTTTTCTTACACTGCAGTTTAGTTTTCAATACTTGTCTTTTCTTTTCTTGCACTATAGTTTTATTACTAGTACTGATCACTGTCTGCTTTTTCATTTGCAGGAGTTTGTGCTGCTTTGAGCTTGCCTGGGAGCTTTGGAGTTTGCACAGGAGCTATGCTTTTGGAGAGTTTATTTTTGTGTTGTCTGAGAGTTTTGGAGAGTTGTTTTGTTTGAGAGTTTGGTTTTAATGTTTAACTTGTATTTAGAATTGATTAGTAGAAAACACTGCTTTTTTTTAGACTTTGATTAATTAAATATGTGATTTTAACCAGAGTGGCTCTCTCCATATTTTACTCCAATGTAATTAATTAACCCATTTTAATTTCTGAATTTGTTTAATTGATTGATTAATAAATTGCTCAATTATTTTAGATTTTTTAATTTATTTTAAAATAAATTAATTAATTATTAAATGAGCAAAAATTCAATTTAAAATTAATTGATTAATTATTTTAATTAATTAAAAGAACTTTAAATTTTAAATAGTTTTAAATTAATTGATTAATTAACTTATATAATTTCAAATTTAGTTAATCAATTAATTAAATTTTATTTATATTTGAAATTACAGTAACTAAAATCGCTCTAAATTTTCAATCAATTAAATGATTTCAATTAATTAATTTTATTTAATCAATTAATTTCAATTCATTAATTAATTTCAATTAATTACTTAATTGAATTAATCAAATTAAGTTCAAATTAATCGCTCCACAACTTTTTCAAAAATTTGGTAGTCTCCTGAAGTGATTTCAGCAGCGTCCAAGCATTCCCTCCCGTTGATTTCTTTTAGGTCAGATCTAAGATCGATGGCGTGAGGTCTTCGTTTTGAAATCGTTTCAGCCGGATCTAAGATCAATAGCATGAAGGCTTAAATTAAATTTCTTTTCGGCCATATCTAAGATCGACGACACGAGATCTTCATTTTGAAATCGTCCATGCTGGATCAAAGATCGACGATCAACGGCACTACTCTTCCTCAAATCCATATATGTTTAATGCTGGCATAAAGGCTTTATTAAATTACAGCAATATATTTAAATTAATACAATCAGTTGAAGCATTTAATCATGAGCAGTAGAGGCCAGGCTAGAAGTTGGAACCGGCTCTGAGTCTATATGTAAAGTAAATACAAGAATGCAAGTGGAATAGGTTTCGAAGTTTTGAACGCACAGGTGGGGGTCTTGGATCGAACAAAAGGGGCTGCTGGTTGGTTAAGCGTTCACGTATAAGAGGCCTGGATGGGCACTCGATCGGAGGATTGTGTAAGCACGTATGGGAGACGCAGGGGGTCTCGCAAGAGGCCGT